CGCTTCGCGCTTGGTGATGTGAGAGCCTGGTCCGGTGAGAACCCGGCGTGCTCCGTCCCGGCTTTGTAGGGATGCGAGGTCAATGGTCTAACGACTACGGCATGCACGACTATCAGTACCCCCCCCCCGCCCCCCCTCCTCCGTTTCGTCGCATGGCAACGACGTTGTAAAATAAGCCAATTCACTTGGTGAGCTCGGCAACCAGGTTAACGTTTTTTTTTTACATCTGTTTTTTTTTGGCTGTAACCATAATGGTGGTCGAGTAGATCATGTTGTGCGGGGTCGAGAACCCTCACTCCGCGCAAGGGGGATGATCGCACCACGTTGTGTTAAAATGGTCAAGCACCCTCGAGGCAGTTACACAGTGCTTACAACTGTCTCTGGAAGTGAAAGCACCAGAAAATAAATTAAGTCATACGCAGCTGTCATCCGTACGCAAGGAAGTAAGCACAAGATGCCGAACACCCTTAGCAGGATGCAGCGCACCCTTCATGCGACTCGCCGAATATCTCACGGCGCTTCGCGCTTGGTGATGTGAGAGCCTGGTCCGGTGAGAACCCGGCGTGCTCCGTCCCGGCTTTGTAGGGATGCGAGGTCAATGGTCTAACGACTACGGCATGCACGAGTATCAGTACACCCCCCCTCCCCCCTATCGAACCTGCAAGGTTCAGCCTCGTGTCTGGTTGTTGCCAGCTGTTACCTGCACTAGCCGTTGGTGGTGGTGCTGCTATCTTGCTGGTCTCGTATCTGGACGGTGTGGCAGGAAGAATCCTTACCCGACGACATATATCGACAGCCACAAGCACCTTCGGTTATCAAAGCAAAGCCGGACAATCGTCGGGTACTCTTAAATCCCTCGCCCATCGTTTCGGGGTATGGGGGACACAAATACAGGCTTGCTCGCTCGTTATCGCTGCATGTCCGCCTGCCGCACTATTTTCACACACCGCCGTCACCACTCCAAAACGAAACTTATCCCAACGCCAGACCTATACCGTCAACAACAAAGTTCGACGCTTGGAAGGAAGAGAACCCGAGTGAGTCCAAGCAGATGGCCACCGACAACAAGTACGACCGCCAGCTAAGGCTGTGGGGCGGGAGCGGCCAGAAGGCGTTGATGGAGGCCAACATCCTTCTCGTGAACGCCGGCGCAACCGGCACGGAGACCCTCAAGAACCTCGTCTTGCCAGGTTGGTCGGTCGGTCGTTTTTTTGCTTTTACCGTTTTTTGTTGTTGTTGTATACGGGTGTCTGTTTGTTGGCACACAAGTATTGTAGTTGTTACACATCGCGGTAGATACATCGCGGTAGATATCTAAAAGGTGAGATACCGAGCAAAGACCGGGCCGTAGTTGTGATGCCAAGGCAACAACAACAACTACAACACAAAAAATACACGTGGACCATACCCCAGGGGAAACGTTTTTAGGAAAGAGCTCAGTCTCTCGGAGTGTGCAAAGCCTTTGCACTCATCCCGCCGACACGAGTCGCACATGATGCGCGTTGTGCTCACAATTGTTTTCGCTTGTATGTACAGGTACGACACGCTTGTTGTTGTTGGCGTCGTTGCTGTGCATTACCGGTATTTTTTTTTTCCGGTATGTATCTTGGTCACCCCTGCATGAATGCACCGCTCCATTCTATCCATCCCCATGCTTATCGTGCAAGAGACGAACGAAATGTCAATTTCGTACCCCCAAGACTCCTTACTGGTATACAGCACGCGACATAAAAAGTAACAAGTTACAACACTGGACCAATCACAAACATGCCCACACGTTGTTCGTACTGTATTGGATGGATGAATCAGGGGTCGGGCATTTCACCATCCTTGACGCTGAGGAGGTGCGGCAGTTGGACCAGGGCAGCAATTTCTTCGTCGGACCAGAGCACGTCGGCCTTCCAAGGGCAAAGGTGGCGTTATTTTGTTCTCTTCTTTTTTTTACACAACGAATTCATCCCTATCCTAATCCAAATCGGTAGTGGAAGCATGAATACCCGTGTTTCGTCGTTCGCATTCATTGCAGTTGGCGATAGTTTCTTGAGTATGCTTTACTTATTTATTATTTTCCTCTTTCTCCGAGGGCAAAAAGCCTATCGTGTGTTTTGGGAAGCACACACACCGCATTTGTTTTGCGGTTGCCATCGAAAATTGATCGATGAGGGTACAGTCTCGATGTAGTGCCTATTCGAACAAGAAGGGAAGAGGGTGCCTGGCTCTGATGATAGATTCCCCTCCCACTGTCCCCTCACCTTCGCTTGCATTACATGTATATATCAGGTCGCAGCCGAGCTGCTCTGCGAGATGAACCCTGACGTGAAGGGGGGGTATGTACAAGAGGACCCGGACGCGCAGATGAACAAGGGTGAGCTTTGAAATGAGTCGTATCGGGGCTTGCGTCTCCTAGCGCTGGCGGTGGATCGTTGTCTCGTTGTCTCCCTCTTGGAAGATTTACGATATGTCCCGCTGACGCTATCGTCGGTGGTGGTGATGCTATTAGTGGTATGGTGTTGCTGTTGTTGTTGTTACTGTTATTGTTGTTGTTGTTGTTGTTGTTGTTGTTGTTGTTGCTGTTGTTGTTGTTGTTGTTGTTGCTGATTTTGCTGTTGTTGTTGTTGTTGGTTGTGGTTACTGCTGCTGCTGCTGCTGCTGCTGTTGTTGCTGAAACAACTTTTGCTGCTGTGGTCTGTTGGCACCGGTAGTGAGTGACTCGATCCGGCCCCCATTCTGTGCGTCTCCGCCCAACCACGACGTGCACCTCCGCGACGCTACCGACCACTTGTCGCGACCCAGACCCCGCGTTCTTCTCCAAGTTCTCCCTGGTCATCGCCTCCCAGCTGCACGAGACTACCCTGAGGAAGATGGCCGCGCTGTGCTGGGACAAGTCCGTTCCGTTCTTGCACGTCAGGAGCTACGGCTTTCTAGGCCACGTCCGCCTGGTACATGTTTGATGAGATTCGTGCACATCAAGCGCAACGTGTGATTGGGTACATGTATGGTATTTTCCAAAATATGCATGCACATTTGTCGGCAGTGTGTGATTGGTAGCACCTGGTTTTTCAAGAGGTTCGTGCACATCAACCGCAACATGTGTGATTGGTAGATATGTGGTCTTTTTAGAGAGACCCAAGCATGTTGGCCGCAAGGTGTGATTCGCAGATACGACCAGCAACATGAGTAGATATTTGTTCTTGTGTTCCGCTCTCTTGTGCATGTGCTCCCTGTCATCGGATTCAGTTCTTTTTTGCTCCTCGGCGTTGGTCCTATGAATCGATATATGTGTCTTTGTGTGTCTTAGTTTTGTCGTGTGTGTGGTGCTTTGAGTTGTTATTGGCGTTAACGGTGGTGGAGGTGTTTTGAAACAGTTTCCCTCTCTCTCGCCAAGAGCCACCGGGCCGAGGTTGCGCTAGAAGGTAGCCAATACAGCTTGCATTGCGGGGCCGCTTCTTTTCGCGGTGGTCTCGTGGGTCGTGCTTCTGGTGGGATGCATGGACGCTTCACGTTTGCACGAAACCATATTTTGCCACCGCTGCTGTTTTCAGGAGATCGTGGTTTTCACCGCTGCTGCTTTCACGAGGCCGTGGTTTTCCACCGCTGTTGTTTGAACGAAATCGCAGCTTGTCACCGCTGCCTTTTCACGGAACTACGGCAGTGTGTCGCCGCTGTTGCTGTTTCAAGGAACCATATGTTTCTTGTCACCACTGCTGTTTTCACGAAATGACGAAATCATGGTTTGTACCACCACAGCTGAAACCCGCTTGACACACCCTCTTGGCACGCCCAACGCCATCATTCCATCATCTGAAGGCGTTGCGAGGGCACTGCGTGGTGGAGAGCAAGCCAGAGGGAAACAAGCCGGACTTGAGGATCGCGCAGCCTTGGCCGGAGCTGCTTGAGTACTGCCAGTCCATCGATTTCGACAAGCAGGTCAGGTTTTCCTTTGTTATTTTTCTGTGCTTTCTCTTTCTTGTCTTTCGTTGTTTTTTACATCTTGTGTTGTTGTTCTTGCATTTACTTTCCTCGTTTTTCCTTGGTGTTCCTTTTTTTATTTTATTTTTGGGTTGTTTTGTTTCGGATTTTTCTTCTCGCTGCTCTTTTTTTTTTATCTTTTCTGTCTCTGGTTTTGGTTTGGTAAATGGTGATGTTCTCCGTACGTTCACAGGCGAGGTACTCGATGGTTCGTCACTATGATACACTGGTGTGGACGGCCTCTTTGGCAGCAATCCACGCTCCACTAGGAATTTGTAACAGAGCACGTCCTCAAGCTCTCTTGTTGCGGTCGTTTTTTTTTGTTCGTGACTTCGTGACTGTTTTCCATACACGTGGCGGCATGGGCGAGGGACGCGAAGCCACAGCTTGTTGTATGGGCGATGTGTTGTTTTCACAGAGCATGTGCTTGGGAGACCAAAAGCGCCGTCGCGTGGCAGGGAGTCGTGAAATCCTCCTGTACTGGTACGCAATAGAAGCAACGTCAAGATCGACGGGATGCCGGCGTTTTTTTCGACGAGAACTTGAAGGGCGCGGCGCTCTGACTCGGTGGCAGGGCCACGAGTAAAACGACCTCCACACGAAGGAAATTTGTACGTTTGATGACACCCACACCCACCACTTTCGTGTGTGACGCAACCCTCCTGTGCCGGTATGCAACACAAGCAACGTGGAGAAATGCGGTTTTTCTTCGAGAACTAATTGAAGGGGGTGGTGCTCTGTCTCAGCAGCAGGGCGTCGAGTAGGACGACCCCCCCACACGGGAAGTGAGTACGTTTAAAAACACCCACCCGCCACCATTCCTGTGTGTGCCGTTGTCCCCCCCCCCCCCCCCCCCCCCCCCCCCCCCCCCCCCCCCCCCC